GTGACACAGCCACAGTATTTGGAAAATGTAAATGACCGTCAATTGTAAAGATGGAGACTGAAATAAAGGCAGCTCTGCAGTTGTGCGTGTGCAGTTTTATGTATAAAAACACAAATAAAAAATAAATTATGGGTTTCGTAATATTCTTTGACATTCGACGTATTTGCCAGTGACCTAAAATTTGCTAATTATATTAGTAAGGTCACCAGAATTTATTTCTATCGCTAGAAAAATACATCAAAAGTTACATTCTTATCTGAAACTGCCTTTGGTCCATGCGTTCATATCAAGCAAGTTAGATTACTACAATGCTGTTTTTGTTGTTGTTGTTTTTTGTAGAATCATTAGAAGAATGATTTCATCTTGCTCAGAAAGCAGCAGTCATAGTCCTTACGGGAATGTGAAAATACTATTTAAATTACTAATTAATAATTAATTAAGAAAAACTCTCAATGGTTTGGCCACCCAGTAGGACCAATGACTTGTTCAGTGCTTATAATCCAACTAGACTTCTCGGGTCTTCAGGTGCAGATCTGTGGTCCTGAAACATGTACCTGCTGACCTGAGTTCAATAAGAAAAGTGTCTGAATTCAAAAGAAAACTTAAAACCGTTTTATTCTCACAGGCCTAAACACAATAACTCTCTCTCTGTTAACCTTTTAATCCCCTTGAGAAACTGGAAAACTAGTTTCTTATGTTTTTATCTCTTTTGATAAAGTGAAGTGAAACGTACATAACAATAAAACTGACAGCAACGGTTGTGCGCAATTCTTTTAACTACGAAAACGAAACTGACTTCATCTCGGTCACGTGACTGCACTGTTTCCGCGTTTGTAACTTTGACAGACGAAAGAAACGCACGAGAATAGAAACTGATGGTAACAACGCTGGGTAAGTCTGCTTATGTGCTATTCAGCGCTATACGCCAACAGTATATTAACATTACAGGGCTTACAAGTGACTTTGTGTGTTTACGGTTTACTACATCTGCTAAATCTGAGCACCAGTGAAAACTGTCTTGGATAACTAAGACCTTTCTTTTAGATAGTTTGGGATTAATATGCGCCCATCTTCGTGTGACACCTTTGTGGCTCTGCCCCCATCCACTGAGGGACAGCGCATCATTTTTGGGAAAAACTCTGACAGGCCTTGCGATGAAGTCCAGGAGGTTGTGTATTTTCCTGCCACAGACTATGCTGCAGGGGAGAAGGTTGAGGTAGGTAATAAAGAGACCATATCATTGCCCTCCAACCTTCAGTCTACCACAGTGCTACTCCTTGCTGAGCGTCCCAGCTGATAACCATTAATACCTTTTGCCCTTGTGTGTTCTTCTTTTTGTGAAAAGTGCACATATATAGAGATTGAGCAGGTCGCCCACACTTATGCAGTTGTATTGAGCAGACCAGCATGGCTGTGGGGGGCAGAGATGGGTGCAAATGAGCATCAAGTGTGCATTGGAAATGAAGCAGTGTGGGGCCGACAGAGTGCAGATGGCGAGGAGGCTCTCCTCGGCATGGATCTCGTCAGGTAAACCCACCTGTATAGAAGTTGTCTGCTTTTTAAAGTATCTATATACTTAGCTTAATGTATCCTGATGTGCAAAAGAAAATGTAATGGCATGGTCTCCGTTTAAAATTTTGTTTGTCAATTTCACAGGCTTGGACTTGAGAGAGCTGATACAGCTGAGAACGCAGTGACCGTTATCACCGAGCTGCTGGAGAAGTACGGTCAGGGAGGCTCGTGCATGGAGGATGAAAGTAGCTTCACCTACCACAACAGCTTCCTCATCTCAGACAGGAAGGAAGCATGGCTCCTGGAAACGTCAGGAAAGTACTGGGCAGCAGAAAGAGTCGAAGGTAATTGGAAAGAAAAAGTTCACTCTGAACATAAGACTTCTTTGGCCAATTCAGGGAATACTCTGGGAAAGTAGACATCCTAAATAGACCAGTAACTTTTATATAATGTTTGTGATAAGTAGTAGTAAAAAGAATAATGGATGGGAGCTGTTAAATTCAGAAGAGAAGATGATGAAATATTTTCAGTGTGTGCACATTTATGGGTATTAAAAGGCATAAAAAGCACAAAAGGACTGAATCGCTCACTACTCTGCAGTCTGCAAATTTTGCAGGCCTCAAGAGGTGAGCCTCATAACAAAATGCACATTAGTTGGATATTTACACTGATAATTTAAGTAGATTAGATACATTAGTCTATACGTGGCATTAGAACAAATACAAAAATTCCACACATTTTATGTCCTTTGGAATAAAATAGTGGTTACTACATTAAAGGGCAAAGTCTCAGCTTTTAATTTCAGTATATCTGGAAAGAAAGAGGTGTGTTTAAGATTTAACAAGACCAAAACCTGTCCTAGATGTACTTACACATTCTGACCACCAGAGAGTGCTGGCTGTCCTATTCAGAATACTTTCTAACATTTAAAGGACGGTTGTTGTTGTTTTTGTTTGGGTTTTTTTTTTTTTTACCTCAGTAAAGGAAAGTTAGAGTAAAATAGATTTAATTTTAGTGACTGCGCATGTTTTCCTCTTCTACAGGTGGATATCGTAACATCTCAAACCAGTATGGCATCACCACTAAGATAGACAAGGAGCATCCTGAAATGAGGGCATATGCCCAAAGTAAGGGCTGGTGGGATGGGAAGACTGAGTTCAACTTTGCCACGGTCTACTCCTTTATGACTACAGCCAGAATAGAAGCCTCTGGGAGCCGATACTGTGAGGGGAAGAAGTTGTTGGAAAAGAGCAACGGTTAGTCAATGAACACAGAAAAATTGGGGTCACAGGAGGACAAAGGTTACATAATCTGCACCACTGGTGTGCTTTTATTTACTGAAGGTCATATCACAGCGGAGACAATGATGGATATCCTGAGGGATAAAGATAGTGGCATCAACATGGAAGGCATGTTCATGACCACAGGAAGTATGGTCTCTGTGATACCCACGGATCCCGATCTGCCAGGGGTTCACTATTTTACAGCAACTCCAGATCCTGAAAGGTATAGTACTTAATGTTATTTTAGCGCTTAAAGCACTCTTCCAATGCATTTCTACTGATGATCTGCTGGGTTCTTCTTTTGTAACAACAGGTCTGTATTCAAACCGTTCATTTTCGTGAAAAACCTTCACCCGTTAAAGGAGACGTCTTCCCCGAGTTACGGCCTAGATGACCCTGTGAAGAAGAAACCCCGCTTCCAGAGCAAGCCTGACCGCAAGCACGAGTTGTTTGTCAAACATGAACTGGTGGCTGCCATCATTGAGTCCCACAAGGTTTTACAGTTTAATTCAATTCAAGCCTGCGATTTATGTAAAATTATTATTATTTTGTCTTGTGTGGGCCTTTTTTTCTGAACGTGTGCAACTTGTGTTTTTTCCTTTCTCTGTAGGACAGAGGAAGGAAGATCACAGAAGGTATGAGGCAGCTGGAGAAGGAGATGATAAAAGAGATGGAGGAACATCTTTTACATGGTGTTGAGAGCCCAGATTTTCTGGTGAACTTGTTTTCAAGTTCTATCCAGAGGGAGCTTTCTGTTTACAGCCAAAAATGAGGCCAGAGCCACAACGTAGTTCCACACTTTGACACTAGCAGAGGGCATTCTGCTTTTTACGTTTTAATCAAGTACAAAAATGCTTGTGCAATAAACCTGCAAAACAACAGGATACTGTTCAGAACTATTGCTTAGAAAGTTGAAGAGAGTGTAATGTTCTTAAATCCAATGACATTAAAGTCTTGACTCTTATTTAATGAATCATTGATGAGAAATGTTCCATAACAAATGCATTACATAATGCAAGAATGAAATCTTTTGTAATAAACTTTTGTTTTTAAACACGTTATGAATATACAGCCAAAGTGTGATGATGCATTTTTGAATTGCATGCATTTTATTACAATTTGGTTTAATAAAACAAAATTTTGCCACAGAAAATGTGCCTTATATATTTTGTTACCTTGAGAGAAAAGAAGATCTGCAGCTGTTCCTAAAAGTGTTTTCCCATCACGCTCAGAAGATATACATTTTCATTGTATATTGCTACCACATTATGTTTCAATATGATGACTGAAAAATGACATTTTTTAAGCAAACTGGCCAGCAGTTGCTATGTTAACAATTATAGTTCTGGTTAAAACTTCATAAACAATATCCAGTGAAGGTTTCCAAAGAAATAACATCAAATAACATCATTTTTCCCCTTTATCCATTTGGTGAGTGGTTTTTAGTAAAAAACTAACAAAACATGTAAAAGTGTCTTTGTAGAAATTAGGATTGAAAAGGATTAAGTAGAGAAGTGACTTTTTGGACATACACCTCTGTGTGCTTCATCACTCACAGAATGGCATGAAACATAAAGTCAAATCAAATCTATGGTGTAAAAACAAAAACATAAAACTTTTGAAAGGCTCATTCCTTGAAATTTAGAATTCCCCTTTTATCCAGTGTGACACATACAGTATACACTGACACACTCTGAATACCAAGTCATCTGGACGTTGTGTTTTCAGTGGGAGAAACGTTTCGTCACTCATACAAATGACTTCTTCAGTGTCTGCTGACGGCAGGTTTCCCCAACATAAACAGTACATTTGCATAATGACTGAAGCTAGCACTGGCACCACTGGCAAACATGTGACAAACATGGCTGTGAGGTCAGTTTCTTGATAATGAGAATGAACTTTTTGGGATTTAGATTAAAATAATTTATTTATGGCTCGTGTTCAAGTTTTAGCATCGTAGCCGTGACTCAGTGTCTCAGAAATGAACTTGAAATGTTGGATGTAAAGACAACAAACATTTTGAATGAGAGTGTGCAGCACTTTGAACATTTCTCACATTGCCGACAGGGGTCCTCGTTGCTATTACTGTGCCACGATGGTGAATTTAGTAATAGTACGTTGAGTCTCTTGCTGTACAGGAATTTCCTGTTCGAACTGATTTGATTTTCTTTTAGGTTAAAAGAAACCTTTTTCTTTGATGCAAGCATCTTATGCCATGAAGCGATAATACAGCGGACTATCTTGGAAGCTGTATTCCTGCTTGATGTGTTGGAGCACACCACCCTGTTGTAATTGCATCCCATAGAGTACAGCCTCGCCACGGTCCTGAGCTAAACCAACCTGCAGAAGCCACTCAACAAGTTCACAGCCAAGAAAACAGTCCACCATAGTCTTCTTTCCACACCTGAAAGTCAAAAAAAGAAATCACCCAAAGGATAGTTGTCTGTAAAAGGAGCCACAAGAAACAGAGGAGCAGACAGAACCCACACACAGAAAAATGACTGAATCAGGAATAATTTTGTTTTGAAGGTATTGTGGTTTGTGAGTCACCGAGCATCAGCAAAGGTTTGCCTAGACATTAACAGGAGGTAGCACAAACTGATCACCAATCGGAAGGGCGGTGATTCAATCCCTGCACGTAAAGGTACCCTTGGGCAAAATACTGAACCCACTGTGTGTGCATGACAAAGTGCTTAGGAAATTTTAAAAAGCACTTGTATAATTGGGTGAATGTGGCTTTTTGTGTGCGTTGAGTGTCCATTAGAACAGAAAGACACTATAAATACCATGTTTATCATCAGTCTTTAACCAGAGCAGCGGTCAGTAAGACAATGTGCTCTCACCTTCTCTTTTTAACGATGTCATGAAAACACTGCTGCTTGTGGTATTTGGTGAACTGGGTGCAGGTCATCCCGATCTCCTCAGATAAATCACTCTGTGGCTGCTCTTCTTGTTTTCCATACCACAGACTGTATAATCTAAAAACAAAACAAAGTTAAAACACTGTGTAAAAACTCCTCAGAGTTCAGAGGAGAATGAACAGACTACTTTGAGGTGATAGAAAGGGAGCAACCAAGATATGCAGAAAAGCATCTTTGTATAAAAACTTTTGAATGTGCTTAATAATTTGGCAGTTTCATATAAAAGCCTTTTACCTCTTTTTAAACGGCAGTAAAATCAAATGTTTGTCCAGCCCAAAAAGAGCAAAGGAGAGAAGCCCCTGTTTAACAGGAAAAGAGAAGCATGACTTTAGTGCTGTGGGTGTGAGTATACAGTCATGAATAGGTAACAGGATATTTCTAACACAAACCTGTCCATAGTTGACCACAGCACAAAAGAAGAGCAACTCCAAGTAGAGTCTACCAGGATTGTGGTTAAAGAGCAGCCACACGCAGCTGGACAAATTCTGTGAAAACAGGATGTAAGAAGACCTTTGAACTAGAAATGGTAACTAACGCTGTTCACTGAACCAGCTTGTAGAACCAGCTGAGTGGGCATTTGTTAAAAGAAAAAGACATTTTTAAGTGTTTTCTATACATATGTTAATGGGGTTTTTTCATAAATTCATCTTTTTTATCTGCGGGAATTCCAAGTATCTTTTTCATGTAAGTTCTTAAAAAAAATCTACATGCCCCTAATACACTATTTCTTCATACAGTAATAAAAATATGTAACATTGAATGCAACAGTAAATATAGAGCCAGACGCATGACTTTTCTAATGGGGTCTCTGAATGTGTTTCTTAAAGTCTTCCAGTGACAGGAGTTGGAAATTACACAGCTCAGCCATTTGTATCTGATTTGGTTCAAGATGCACTAAATATAATAATGCAGGCGGATGAAGGCTGACTTCATGTCACTGTAGAACTGAAAGGTGGTTGTTTACTCACAGCAAGCAGGCTGACAGTCAGAAGCAGACACATGACGGGTCACTTGTCTGTCTGCAACCTGTTGGAGCTCCTCCACTTGGACAAGGAGGCAGTCTGTGGACTCGCACCCACTCTCACACTGACCTGAGGGGGGCAGCAGCAGAACACAAATAGATAAATACAAACCCTTGTAAAATACAAAAGCATGCAGGTCAGTGACAGTATATACTATACAATATTATACATATACTATGACTTTTACTGTGAAAATGTCTCAAGCCTCCGTTTTTCAGGCTTTCAGAAGGTCTTTCAAAGTTTTTCTTTGGACATCGGTTGCTTTTTCCACTCCTTTTTTAGTCCCTGTACCTGGCCATTTTCAGAGAAATGTTTTGTGACCTAACACTCTACTATGAATCGGTCAAACACAAAAAAAGCACCAAATGGAAGGAATGACCCAGAGTTGTGCCTATGCTTAAAAGACAACTTGGCAAAGAAGTAATTCTGAAGGAAGTTAAACACGGAGAAAAGGCTGAGGTACGTCAAATTATGCAACAGATAGAGGGGTACAACTGTGACAGTCTACAAACCATGTGTAAAACATGTTGGAGGTATCGGGTTTGGAGCTGCATTTCAGTCAGTGGTACGAGGGATCTTGTAAAAACTGAATTACGAATGCTTGTGTTTCAATCAAATAATGGAGTCTTTTATTAAGCGGTTCAAATAGTTTCTCCTCATTACTTGCAGAACTGGTTTACATATACTAGAGTTTGTTGTTTACAGTGGAACTATGACCATGACTCTCGCATTTAGTCAAAACAAAAGCACTGCATGTAATCTGTTCTTTTCTCACATTCCTTTCTTTGCCTGTACAAGCGAGTAATTTTGTGGGTGATATGGAATTTTAACAAATCTGAAACTTACTGTCATTCCTCTGAGGAATGATTCTGTGTGCATGTATATATTGTCCTTTGGTAACTGAAGACCGTTTCTACTTTAACTGAAATTGTTTTTGATGGGAATGAGTTGAATGCCACAGACAAGTTGAACTGTGTTGAACTTAAGTGTAGATGACCTGTAGATAAGGTCTTTATTTAGCGCCTCAGATATTCAGTATCCATTAATCTGACAACGTCCTAACTGTTGACGATTTCAGACTAATGAAGCCAGCAGCGTCTGTTAAAGGTTTCCTGACAGGACGCACCTTGATCTCTTGGTGGAGGGTCAGTCTCAAACAGGGTCTGGTTTTCGGGTTCATTTTCAATCAAAGGATCTTCTGGAGAGTCAAATGAGTTCACCTCTTCAGTTTGGACATTTTGGGCCCAGCTTCCTCTGCTGAGACACACAAGAGAGCCTCCTCCCAGGAATATGCTGAAGGCAACTACGAATGTGGTGCAGATTATCTGAAAGAAAACAACCAAATTGTATACAGGTTTTATTTCATTATCTGTAATTTCATGGCAGAAAACAGGAAAATGACTTCCCCTGGTATTATTACCTGTGCTCTGCCATAGAAGAAAGCTGCATCAATGACTCCAAACATTTTTTCCCCACAAATGAGCAAAACTGCAGTTATTAAAGCTGGAATCCTGCAACCACAGATACAACAAATTCAGTCACAGTATTAAAATATAAAAACCAGGTCAATGGGATTACCCTGAACAACGTGCATGACACTTGGTTGCAGATATACTTTTTTTTTACTATTTAATTTTAAGTGAGTTGGTGTCATGCAAAATCACATTATATTATGATATATTCATTCATTTACATTGTTGATTGCATCGTGAATGTCAGTCTAAACCAAAGTGACGTGTTTTCCAGTCTGTGCACATTCCTCTTACCCCCAGCCCGCAATGACCAACATGCCCAGTGAAACTTTCAGATCCTCAGACTTCAAGAGCACAAGTGAGAGTGCTATCAAACCTTAAAACAACAAAACATCAATTTCAAAATTTGTAGTCACACTACAGATACATCTCACCAGTATGAACCAACATGAATTAGTTCAATGTAGGTTTCCTGTGGTAGATGGTAGTGTGCGTACCTGGCCATATAAAAGTGCTGTAGAGTGAGGTACATAATAAGGTGAAAGTCAGGACCTGACCAATGAAGTTATTTTCCTTCACTACGAAGTTCCACAAGATCATCCCAATGCAAGTCAGAACCTACAGAGAACAAAATAACAAATACAGGCACTTGGTCATTTTTGAATGCCCACAGGTGAGTTCCTTCATATAGATATGATTTACTTAATCATTAGACATATTAGACATTAATGGTGCTATTAGTTTTTCATGAATGCAATACCATGCTTACCTGTGCAAAGAAAAGGTTAACTGTAAACAAGTGAGGCAGCCTTTTGAATTTTTTACTTAAAAACATGACGGCAATAGTCCACACCTGTGAGAGAAAACATGGATTGTAAACAATGCACTATTTTAACCACAGACTTTAGCAAGAATAGTACACAACAGTGTTAGTTGGTTGTTTTTTGTTTCCTGAGGAATGTAAATGGGAAATTACTGAGAACTATGAAACACATGACTCAAAAAAGTAAACACTGTGGGCGAACAGTTAAAGCAAAGAAAAAAACGTTATGTTTCATCACTGCAAGTATTATGTCAGTGCAGAAATGAGTTTCAAGTTCTTCTAAAGGTTTACTAATAGGCAAAGAATGAGGAAGTAAGTCTGCAAGTCGGTAAAAAATCTGTGTAGTTAACAATGCTGAAAACAGGACCTTTTAAGATTCGTTTTCCAAGGTAGTTCAACCAGGTGTTTATCTTTTTACTTTTCCTTTATTTGTCCCAGGTGATAATATCAGATAAACATGAGATCTTGATATGGAAAATAAAGTGATTGAAAGCCCCGCGAGTTATTAAGTGGACTTAGTCTTCACAGAGACCTTAGTCAAGCTAAAATAAAAACAAACAAACATAAAAATATAAAAATCAGATGAAAACAAATAAACAATTACCCAACAACTAGCTGTGGATGGATGTGAATCGTTAGCTGCTGAAATGAAAGCAAAACAACAAAAGATATTTTTGGAAACGTAACCATTGGATGATTAGGTCTTAAAAGGCCTGAGTGCTTGTGTGCCCTAGCTTTGCTGTTCCTAGCACTGCACTATGCCGGATAGAGATTTCGGATTTATTTCATGGGATCTGCTGGAGTCACTCACCCAGATTGGGAGTCATTGACCCAAGTGCTCTGGTTACCACAGGCACCACTGTTGCCTTCACCCTTCACCGCTTCTCCAGCTCTTTTCTTTGCTCTTAGTATTTCTAAAGCATATAGGGCTCAGAAGTGGTTATATCAAATTTGCTAACAAATTATAATATTATGGATAATTCTATCTCTGCATAAATAATGGGACAGCATGTTTACACTCACAGCTCTGAATGACAAGCTTTGTGTTTGCTGGGATTAAAAGTTACTTACCTATGAATGAAGGTACGGAAACTGAAACACAGGCAGCTTTTGTGTAAATATGTGTGATAATACGACAGAATGTTAGTTCCCAGTGGAGAAGTTAGAGACCAGTTCAAAGGATGATAAAAACCTAAAAAGCTGTGAGATGACACAAAAGTATTGATAATGAACTGTTTCAATTTAAAGTCAATTCAAAGTAGCACAGAGTAGAAGAGCTTTGTTCATATGATATAATCAACAGATCACAAAAGAAGTTTAAATAATTCAATCTTTCATCAATAATTGTATTTTTTACTATTCTTGACCTCTTACAGACTCTAAAAGTCGTCAAATGAAAAAAAGAAAAACAGTTAAAGATCAAATAGGTTGCCATATATCCTTTTACCACAACTTACACTGTGTCCAAAAACTTGAGTTGATTAAATGTTTACAGAGTAAGTTAGTGTAGAGGTACATCCTGTATTTTCACTATAACAAAAGCTTCACTATGAAAAAGCATATCCTGCGTCATTCAAGCACAGAAAGACTGAAACCTGAAACCAGAAATGCAAATCCAGAGCAGATTTCGCTGCACCAACATGTAATGTTGATAAACTGTCACAAAGGGAAACTATTTCCATAGACCTTGTTTCTAAATTCCACCAGCTCACCAGGAATTCAGCTGGTATTGCAACACAATAGCTGGACTGTTCACCCGAATAAGCAAATTAAATTGAAAGACTGACAGAGTTTTTGGGCAAGATGTAGCCATTTTGTAGTGTGAAAGATCAAAAGTAATTGGACAAAGAATAAATGAAACATGTCATATAGCACTTGGGCATTTTAGCCACAAGAGAGCGCTGGCTGTCCCGCTTACAGTACATGTAAGGGATGGATCTTTTTAAAAATGTATTTATTTGTTCTTCTGAGTTTATTAAACCTTTTTGGCTAAGTTAATGCCTTCAGTACAACCTTACTCTCAGTGTCTAAATCGTGTAAATATGCAAATGTAAATGGTTGTTTGCAGTTCTTAAAGGAGAGACATTGTAATTAATTGGACATACAATGGCAATAAACTCATTCATTTATTCAATGTAGCTGAAGTGGTGCAGAACTAAATGAGAACCCCATGAACACAGTGTATCATCATGAGTTTTAGAACAAAAACACTGTGCTACTTGGTTGATGGCTATTCACATTTTCCTCTTCTATAGGTGGATATCGCAACATCTCAAAGCAGTGTAACATCACAATTAAGATGGGAACATCCACAAATGAGGGCCTATGAATGAAGTAAGTGCTGGTGGGATGCATTTCATCTTCTCACCTGCACCAACAATGGACGATTGCAGGAGCTGGGAGAGGAAAAGGGTACTGGTTAATGAATAGCTGCACCGAGGGGAAACTAAGATAACATCAGGACAATGGTTTTATGGTCACCACCACTGTTTATGCATGCTATGGTTTTATTTACAGAAGGTCATATCACTGCAGAGACAATGACTAATATCCTGAGGGATGTGGATATGGCATCAGGGCATGCTCATGACCACAGGAAGTGTGCCATCTGTGGTGCTCACAGAACTTCGATCTGCCTGAGGTGCAGTACTTGAGTTCAACCCAAGCACTTGAAGCACTCTTTGACTCCAGCTACCAGCAGGGATCTCCTTGGTTCTTCTTTGTATTCCAGGTCTTTATTTAAACTGTTCATCTTCAGCGGTTGTGAACCTGTGAAAGTAAATGATGAAAGCTAAAAATGTTTAAATTAATTGGGCTGTTAAAGTTGTTGTTTTTTTTTTGTAGAATTGCCAAAATGTAAAAGCATAACTCGGCTAAAAGGTTCTCACCTTTATAGCAAGTTTTATTTTAGATTTGACAAGACATCCACTTTTACTAATTTACTGAATTAAATACTCAAAGTCTCATTTTTCATAGCACAATCTGAACATTTTGGGAGCATTTCCACTGCACAATGAATTCAAGCCCACAATTTACCAAAATATGTAACTCGGCCTTTGTGGTCACTAGTTGCTGAAAGTGTGCACCTGGATCACAAAAGGTATAAGGTACTGTAGCTTATGAAACATGGAAAAACAACTTCTACGTGGTGTCGTCAATCCAGATTTTCTGGTGAACTTGTTTTTAAGTTCTGTTCAGAAGGAAATGTCTGTTTACTGTAAAAACAGAGGCCCACATCTACATGCAACCACAAATCGATTCCACAGTTTGACACTAGACTCTTTTTTAAATCAGGCCTTTAAAAAACAAACAAAAAAACAACCAAAACCTTCTTGTACAATGAGCTAGTATGAAACAACTGAATAATATTCAAAACCATTGTTCATAAAATTGATCAGAGTGAAAAATTCATAAATGCCACATTATAAAATGCAGGTTTAAGTTTTCGCTCAATTGTTCAATAACAAATTCATGAATACACGAGTTAAGGTTTGGTAATAAACCTTTTATTTTATTAGCCAATGTGTGATGATACACATTATATTACAGTAACTTAGATATTTACATACATTCTGTTAATATCAGAGTTAGAAAATTAATTAATTTGCTTGTTTACCTGAGAGAGGGGAAAAAATAACTGCAGCATCTCAAACTTCTAAAACAAAACCCATTTTCAGGTGAAGACTTAGATTTTCTTGCTAACGTTTACTTTTTTTATGTGGTTACTGAAATGGGCAAACAAAAGCAAGTAAAAATGTTGATCGAACTGGACAGTTGCTGTTTGTTAAAGCTGTATGAATAATGTACATCACTGTCAAGACCTGTTCAAGTACAGGTTTCCAAAGCAACGATACCTTTGCTTCATGCGAAATTAATAATTAACTGGTGAAATGTGAGTCCTTTCCCTTTATTTATTTGGCAAAATAAAATATTCTTGATAAGAGTGAGGAAACACAAAGGTGTCCTAGTAGATCAATGACTGGATTAAGCAGAGGAGACTTCCCCCCCCCTCACACGCACTTTTTTTTTTTTTTTTTAAATGAGAACACCTCTTTGTGCTTCATCACTCACAGAATGGCATAAAACATACAAATAAAGTGTCCCGCACTCCAAAACAAAACAAAAAAAGAAAAGAATCTACTTTTGGAAGCTTCTTCCCTTGAATCACAATCCCAGTGAAGTTCCAGTGTGACACATACAGTATACACCTACACACCTTAAAGAATACCTCTTCTCTGTAAACATCCATCACAATCTGAAGCCTGACCTGATTTTCCTGAAGTGTGTTGCATTAAACAGTAGGCGAGTCACAGCTTTTTCACATAGTCAGGAATTATTCGGCTGCTTTTAAGTTGTATCTCCTTTTGATGTTGCCTCCAAACAATAGA